GTGGGGGGGGGGGGGGGGGGGGGGGGGGGGAGGGGGGATACATTTCTTGTTTTTTCCTTATATTTGTTTGTTTAATTCTTTATGTAAGCATTAATCTGGCTTGAACTTGGGATAGAGTCATATATAAGATACTCTGAACAGTGTTTTAAACAGGATTTAATGCATATTAGCAAATTGTGAAGGCTGTAATGTTAAATGCCCCGTTATTAGGTGATCTGCATATGATCAATTAATCTTGTGTTGACCCGTTGGAAAAGAGAATTGATTGACAAAATATTTACTCAGCAGAAGTGTAATAGCCAGGTTGTATATATGAGCAAGGCAATTACGACCGGACAAAAACACTTGAAGGAAAGGCCGGAAAATGGTATCGATTCTTCATCGGTGCATTCTCATTCAACCGTCTTGTCGTTGCGAATTTTTCGATCAAGGTAGAGACTATTCCATTAACCTCCCTGTCCCAACAAACTAAGACACGGAATCGTGAATAATGAATGCAAAAGCACAAAGAAATGTATGAAAAGCACTTTTCAATGTCTAATGTGATGAGCAGTTACTGAATGTCTTGAGTATAGGCGGAGGAAAGTGGCTGTCAGTAAATTTTGGGTCTTGAAATTATGTCTCATCTTTAGTGTCAATAGCGAAAAATTGCGCATGAAGAGAGGGATTAAGAATAAGTAATGTAATATCAGCGTCCTGTAGCAACTGTCTGGAAGAAAAACAGTTTATGAATGTCACACATGCCAAATCGACGTACAGTATATATTGCCCGAGAGTAAATGGTGTATTCCATGCAAATTATACAAAATTGAAACGGAAATATTAAAAGAGACGGAAATTTGCTTTTTATTTCCTTCTTAAACTGCTGTATCAAAAAAAAAAAAAAAAAAATCTTAACTGATAGAAGTTCAGTGGATGAACACTGCGTTAGATCTTGTGTGCGGCCGTGTTGTCGTCTGCAACCTGAAACTTGCGACTATTTTTCCGTTACACGAAACGAACACGTTGTATCTAATGATGTTTTCTGCCGTCGTAAAACACGGAAGATTGAATAGATTACCTGTATAGACATCGGTTTATTAATTATGGATTCCGCTTTGAATGAAAGCCGCAACTGAATATTCCAAATCGATACTTAACTGAAGCCTAGTTTTTAAAAACATCAAAAGACGCTCTAAAGAGAAAGTCGGGGACTGAAACACTGAAAAGGTTGTGTATGAGAAAGACGTTAGATGAGCTGTTGATATTTCATATCTTGTAAGGAACCAAGTCTGGAAGTGTGCCAATGTTAAGCTAAGTTAATGGCACAACTAGCAAAATATTTTCTTAATACATTGTAGAAGAGGTGAATTGCAATTAGGAGTATACTCGGGGACGAGGACAACGTGCAGATCTCTAATATTTACAACGAAGCTTGTTGTGGATATTTCAGAAAATAATACAAGAAATGTACGTACTACGATAAACAAAGTAACTGCTGAAAGAAAACATGGCTGTTCTTTCAAATAAAGGACAGATCAGGACTAAAATTTCGCAAGCTTATACCTAAACACGAATAATTTTACTCCGTGCAACTGTCAGTCCAAAACTTGAAGGCCGTTTTTAATTTTAATTCCAGTTTTTAACCGAAACCATAATTACTGCAATCGCAAGCAATGGCGGCTTATAGGGCGTATCCTACGTCCTTTGTCTGCGTACTGTTGGCGTACTGCGCACTGTACGCAGAAGCAGGTTTCCTGAGACCCGACTTTGACAGTGGATGGTTTAACATGACTGCGGACGAAACGGCGGCGAACACTTACAAGGAGATAACGCATGGCTTGGGAGAGACGCCGATTAAGGTCAAGGTGAGAGGTCAATGCAAAGGTCAAGGTGAATTTTCGATACTTATGTCAAGTTGAAAGGTCAGCACTTGTGTAATTTTCTTTATCAACAAGGACTGCTGAATTATGAGTGTTTGTCAAAGCTCTTCTTATTCTAATTGACTCATAATACACTGTTGCTAAAACTTTTGGGCTCACCGGGTCAAATTTATGAATTTTGGTACAAATATTAATTCTTTTAATGAACAGCGATGTGATTGCAAATGGACAACGTTTAATCGTTAGGCAAGCAAAAAAAAAATCACAAAAAAGGCGGTGGGTCTTTAATCATGTAACAATGACAATGGTTCATTTAGTGCCTATACAATAATAATAATAATAATAATAATAATAATAATAATAATAATAATAATAACGTATTAACTATATTTGTTTTCCTTCCAGGTCCTAGGCAGAGCAATAGACGGGAACCATAAAGGGTTTATATTTGAGGGAACTGGAACATCCCAGGGAGATGACGATTTTGGTAAGGTTTCCTCTCTCTCTCTCTCTCTCTCTCTCTCTCTCTCTCTCTCTCTCTCAGCAACTGTCCTTGACTTATGGTAATTACCATATGATGATTTTCCTTTTCGTAATATAATAGTTCTGTTACAAACGAATAGAATCGATAAATGAAATCTGTCAACAAATTAAAAGGCCAAGTATCAATATTTTAGACAGGATCAATTCGTGCGAATTTTTCTTTGATTGTTATCCGTGTGAAAATATTTCTGTGAACATGTTTTACGAGTGTCTCTGAAAATTATATGCAATGAATTATAGCCCATTGCAAATGTCGATACCATTTTTGTTTTCACAATATTGATAGACCTTGACCTCCCCCCTTCCGATGTGTTCCCAAGACAACGGCATATGAAGGTGAAAGGTTAAAGTTTCTTGACGCTGAAAAAACAGAGACCTTTTAATTACCATATTATGATTTGTCTGAACAACAAACCACCTGCGCGGCACTGGAAAACATACATAAGTCAACATACACCAAAACTGTAACTTCCCTCTGGAATAGAAACAGCCATTTCATTTTGCATTTCATTAAACATGTTTTCTCCTTAACTTTTTAATAAGATTAATGGCGATTGGCACCTGAAATTCTGTATTTCTTTCATGTATTGTTTTTTAAACACATGATCAAATTTTGTCTGCAATATTTGTACAAAGTAATGAAATTGAATAAACTGACAATGAAAATAGCATTAATAATGTAAATTGGGGCGAGGGGGGGTTAGGGGGGTTACGTCTCTTAAGAGATTTATTACGTGTCAGCTATTTACCTTTTTCATTTTATTTTTTCCTCAGCTCGTTGTTGACTCCATTCCAGTTATTTCCTCATTTAATAGAACATAAAATCGCTATACCTTTTCTTCACACAACTTAGCTGTATGCCATATACAGTGGAAAAGCATAAATACTTGTTCTAGATGAAACTGGAAGACTAATCGATGTTTCGACGCCACAAATATGTTTCGCTGTGTAAATAACACAGAGTAGTGGTTATTGATGTTATATCTAATTTCCTAATGTTGAAGAGTGGGTGTAATGAAAATCTAGATCAAAAGGGGTACAAGATACAGGCCATAGAATTTCCCGCCAAATTACAAATTAATATCTAGAGATTTTCTTCCTGCATGCGTTAAGAAATCCCCCACAAGCAGACTCTAAAAAAAATTAACCCATTTAGAAAAAATGTTTATCTGAGGCCTACATGTATTTTGTGCCGTTATAATCTTCAAAGCCTGCTTTGGTTAGCCTTTTGCCAGCTTGCCACGTCTGTATTATACACGGCACAGGGCCACGTTACAAAACACTCCGTTCATAAAAAGTCTGGTCTATCGAGTACTAGTACGTCACGTGTGCTACTACAGAGCCTCGAAGCTGGGATAACTAAATGTGAAATTGCTTGATAAAAATATAAATATAAAAATAACCAAACGACACTGCCAATCGTCTGAAGTGGATTGCCAAAAAATGGTCCTATCAGCAGCGGGCCTACCTACTTCATGAATATTTAAATGTCGACCACACACATGCTAGTACGCACTACATATTATTGTTTCAAACATGTGCCAGGCCTCAGTTTGATTTCTTTATTTTTGAATTTTATTTTTCACAGGCCAACCCCGTAGTGGACCGGCGTATGCTTACAACAATGACGTAGTGAGAATATGGCTACCGACCATAAATAACTTCAACCCCGGCGACAATTACGCCATCTATGTTGGAGGATTATGGGGAGGAAATGATTCTACGAATGCGCAGGCGTCAAAAACAGCAGAGTTTAAGGTAAACGTGAGAATGATACCAGCTATACCTTGAACTCTCTCATACATTTATCTCTGAGAGTGGCTAATTTTGCTTTTAGTTACATTTTAGTATCAGTAAGGAAAGCTTTTTTAAAATAGCTAAACAACGAGGATGATGTACATCGTTATCCTGAAAAATATCAAGTATGATATTTAATGCCAGTTTTCCATAGAGTTACTACAGAGAGGAAACGGCACTCGGTTTTGTCTGGTGTCGGTCACTTTTATGATTTTTTTTTTTTTGGGGGGGGTATGGCCATCAGGGAAAACCGCCCAACATACGTGTAGAACTTCCACAATCTTGCATATGCATTACATATCCTCAGGTTCTTGCCTGGCTGGAGAAATCCTTCTACACTGCCAGCGAAGTCATCCGCACGAACATTTCGAGGTACGAGTTTAAGGAGGTCCCCCACACTCTAGGCGCCACACCTGTGTATGTGCTTGCCAGAGCTGTGATCCCGGACGACGAAACACATGGAGGTTTGTATTCCTGGCGTCACACTACGTCATGTCGAGTTGTGACGTCATGTTAAAGTTACGGTGTTATTTTAACGTCACGGTGGTGCCATTTTGAAATCATGACACTGGACAGTTTGCACAAATTTCGTATCCGAATCTATGCGAACAACGTGTTCGTAAATTTTTTTGTCTTTTTTTTTGCTTGCGTAACAGCACGTCTTAGATTACAATTAACTTCAACACTTATGCAACTGCATGTTCAGTTGAAAATGAACATATAATCTTGGACCTAAATAGAGAAGGCCTTCTCTATTTAGGTCCAAGATATAATGTAACAGAAATAATGCATTATGTCCTTCTACATGTATATGATTATGAAAGCAAAAATATTCAATAATAATATTAATAATAATAACAACAGCAGCAAAAAAAAAAAAAAAAAAAATAATAATAATAATAAAATAAAATAAATAAATAAAAATAAAAAATAAAAAAGGGGGGGGACAAGGCATTATGAAAATTTTGTAAATAACATTGCTGATATGCTGATTTTGTGTTTCAGGTTTTGTATTTGAAGGTATCGGCTCTCAGATGATGAGCAAAGGACCCCAAAGCTATAACGCCTACCTGGGCCTCCTTTACGGTTACAATGCCAGCAGTATACGGATGTGGACGGGAATGTTTGTGATGGGTGTCTCTGACGGTTGGGGAAAGAACAAGTGAGTAAGAGCAGAGGGTTAGGCTGGCTGGAGTGGGTGGCTCCCCTCTATCACGGCAGCAGATTAAATATGGGCGCTTTTCTCCAGTGTGACAGCAGAAATTTGTGATATTAATAAGTCAGATACATATCTGTGGAAAATTAGTTAAAAATCAATCGGTGACCTTGGTGGAAAGTAGTGTGCCCCTTCCCAAGATATTATTGAAAGCAAATGGGTCATTTTGATGAAATGTTTGCATTGTCATTTCCCTCAGTCCATCAGACAAAAAATCAATTTACTAAAACTATGGACATGACATAATCCTCAACGTAGACGCAACTTGCGGATCGGTCAATAGGGAGGGGGGACATCAGAGGTTAAAAATCCTTGGCCCCAGTGCCAACACTCTCTATTACGTTTGCAACGGCTTTTTATGTTCTTCAGAAACAACGTGGCCAGAACCTCAGCCGATGTAGAAATTTACGTGTGGGCAGACTTCGACAGCACTGGTCTGGGCACCTACGACAGCGGCTGGTTTCGATGGGACCAATCACAGAAGGAGGACTACATGGAGTTGCACGTGGGCATGGGATATCTCCCGCGCTTTGCCCTGGTTCAGTACAAAGCGATAGATGGCGATAATCAAGGTGAGCTCTATAAAGTATTCAAAGATACATGTAAGTATCAAATAGTTCACTTCAACACGAACCCTTTAACAAATCAACGTTGAATTGTTTCTGAGGTAACTTTGGTATTTCATCTGTGGGCATTTTAGAAAAAAAAAACAAGAAATATGAAATATAATTTGAAATTTCAATTCAGGAACCCCTTTTAACTTTTCCTAATAATGGCAAATGTGTCGATACAAAGCTTATACTGATGCCAGTTACCCCATTATCTGGGTTTTAGGCTACATATTCAATGCCATTGGAACAGCTGAGAACGATGGTCTGACCCCGACACAGAAGCCGCAGCTTGGGGGAGTGGTCTTCGCTTATGGCAAGAACTCCGTGCGTCTGTGGACGCCTTCACCTGACTTGACTGGCACAGCGTCCATTGTGCGAATCATGGATTTAGGAGGTGAGATGCCCTCATTACTGGCATAGAGAAAAGCCGGGTTAAGACCGGCGTGACAGGAATGGTAGTCCTAGGAATGGAAGTCCAGGCTCCCATATGATTAGTATAGGTTAGGGTTAGGCGGAGTTTTGGTGTAAGCATATGGGACGAATGTCACCTGTACAAAGTAATGGGGAACGGACTAAGGTTCCTAGCGGACATCCATTCCTGTCACACCGGTAGTTCTTTTGTCGTAACAGTAATGTCATTTGCAAAATTGACCAGTGTGCTTAAAAATTTGCAACTTAAATGAAAGGAGGCAGGGATGAGAAAATGTGAAAAAAGATTTTGTGAGACAAGTCTGATAATGTGACATCTGTAAACGACGATTTCGTTTTATGTTACTGTAAATGTGTCATTTATCAAATGTTTTGGGGAACAATACAATCATGTCATCGATTTATAGTTATATAACATTTCTAAAATACATTATTTTTTTCGTGAATGCAGGCAACCAATCCATCCAATTATCAACTCAAGCAGACGTTCGCGTGCGACTTTGGGCGGGGAAATTCCACCAGAAAACCGCGTGCACGCTTGGTTCAACGTACCAGAAAATGGAAGACATGTCAACAACATGGCAGACAGCGAACGCTACGACACACCTCGGCCAACTCACGGTGACAGGGTCCCTGAAATGCGGTCGTGAGTGCCACTGTCGCCCGGATTGTGTTGCCTGGGCAACGCCCGGTTATGTCAGAGGGAATATTCCAACAAGTTGTGATTTGATGGGAGTCCGGTTCGGGAGTGACCAATCGCTGCCCAGCGACCAGAACCTGAAATTTTACCGCTATGTTGATATGGACATTAGTGGATGGGAGGAGAATTAGGACCAACATAGTGAACTGAATGTATAAACAGTACTGGGCGCCATAACTCGAACGCATCGCGAATTGCGATAGCGATATCACCTTTCATTTTGAGGCTATTATATGGGGCGAGTAAATGCCGAGTTATGGAATAGAGCCGCTTGCGCTCGGTCGAAATTCGCGATGCTTTCGCGTTACGGAGCCCTGGTATTTTTAGACTAACAGTTATTCACATAAACGAAAGGAGAAAGAGATTATTTCTTCTGGAGAAAGCAAATATTATTCCAAATATTTACAGTTATACTTTCTTCGCCTAAAATCATTCCAATTTTAGTACATCAAAAGCAATTTCATAAAATAATTGATTTTACATGTGTGCGCTTAACACTAATAACTCTATGCGAAGTCTTTTTCGGCCCGTTTATGGCGCAACGGTGTTCATGTTGAAAACAAATCGAATGCAACACAATTAACTGAATATTCAAGAAAGTAAAATGTCTTGTGAAACTACTGGTACTTTCAGATATTCAATATTAAGTTCTGATTTAGTTTTGTTGCAAATTTTCAATTTTCACAATTAAAGGGTACCAAGATGTTGGGGGCGTACATGAAATGTCCCCGATTTACTAAAATAAGACAGAATATTGGGCACATGTCCGACTAGACATGCAGAATGAGGCTTTGACTTCACAAAGAATGAAGTTTGAAAAAAAACCTGTTATCTTGCTGAATGGTGACACAATAAAGGAGTTCAACTCCCCAAGTGCCGGTTCTTTACCCAACCAGATGAAGTATTTGACAAAGGCTCCTGTTATGTACGTGTATTTGTGGCGAGGAAGGAAATTTATGGTTTAATTGGTTCCCAGTTCAAGACAACGACATGCGGCTGCTTGATGACGGTTCCTTTATCACCAACAATTAGGTATAAATGCGCATAATATTATTGGAATAATTTCACCCATTTGTGCTAGGTACCAGTATTTACTATTTATTACTGTTGACTTGCCGCTTTATGTGTCTCAACTAGAATCGTCGCAGCAACGTTCCAACGGCTTATCCATTATGTTTTCTACTAGGACTCTTGAATATTTCGCACAGTCGAAGCGTGCTACCCTGTTGTACAATAGCTAAAACCTGACAAGTAGGGCCTACAAGGGTATACTAGTATTTCCTGTAAAGAGTTTTTTTTCACCTGGTTAGCCTCATACCCCACGGAAGAATCTTTGTAGACAGACATTGAAATATTAGAATTGTACAGCGTTGTCAATATCAGCTGCAGATCGATGGAAAAATTATTTCTTTGTTTTTTAAACCTGTTTTCGCTGAACCAATCCTCTTTTAATTTTCGTGATTTCACTTTCTCTTGATTTCCTATGGTTTTCTGTACTTGTATGTTATACCGCTCGGGTCCACGTCACAAACTCTTTGGTGATTTTCTAATATTTCAAAACGAGTATTGTGAAAACCGTGACGCTGATATACTTTTTTCTGCCTTTGATGGCTATAAGTTTAATCCCAGGTGCGTAATGAATAGTCCTCAATTAATGATTTTGACCTTCTCCTTGCTGCTGACATATATACATTCATCGCGTCTGTTTTCTCTCGTTTTTGAACGTCATTCTATTAATAGTGATATGGATATTCTCTTCCGTAAGCACTACCGCATGATACTCATTTTTTTCTTTCAATAAGTGGTTCAAATGGAGCAAACGAACTAGCACACGCTCTTTCTTTCTCTCTCTCTCTCTCTCTCTCTCTCTCTCTCTCTCTCTCTCACACACACACACACACACGCGCGCGCGCGCGCGCGCGCTCGCACGCCAACAATGTTACCATAAGTCAATATGCGACATTACTTGAATATTAATAACAAATGTTACATATTCACATTAAAGACGAACCATGGCATAAGTATAATACATGTATAGATACATGTACACGCATGCATACGAGGGGTGCGGCAGCTTTGTGAAGGTCGTTTCTTGTATAAAAGTCAAGTGCAACAGCCCGTAGTCGCACAGTGCGGAAGCGGACAACAGAAACATTTGTTCATCAGAAGAAAATGTTGACTCTAACACTGCTGATTGTGACCCTAGCGTTTGTGCCGGAACAGGGTAAGTCAGATCGGACAGATTGTCGGAGTTTAAACATTTTCGTGTCTCTATTGGAAACTACTCGTTCGTTTTACAAACCCACATCGGCTTTTTAAGTATGTGTAGAAATTAAGGCTCTCAAACTTGAGAATTTTTACTTTTTTTAAAACAGCACGAAGTAAAGTAAATGATCTTCAGAAGATAAACTCTACATTTCTTCTTTTAAAATAAATTATTTGGTTTGTGCCTAGGTCCACTGGTTATTCTTTACAGTGTCAAAATCATGTATAGCATATACTCCTTAGTGTTTATATTAATTCACTTCAAAACGGACTGTCAATGATAATTGTCATGTCATAATATGAATGCCGTGAATATTTAGAAATGTATGTGGAATAGAGCGTGAGAAGCTCTTAATACAACTGAATATGTATACAATGTTGTTATCCACACTTACACAATGAGAAAAACGAAATCAAACACAACAAAATCAATTTATTATTTTACAAGAATTAAAAAAACTCGTCAAAGATACGCCGTACAGTTAAGTATTCACTGGCGGAAGTTTGCGGAACAAAAATATTTGATTGCGCGCACTTTAATAGTAAATTCTATTTAAATTAAAACAGCCATTAAATCACCCTCAAACAGATTCAATAACGAAAAACATGACAAGTTACACATATATTTGACTCTCTTACATGTCAGATGTAAAGGTTGCATACAACTGCAAAGTTTTAATATGTCATTTGTCAGGAGGGGAAACAAATTCCTGGGATAAGAGATTTAAAATTGTCAAAATTACGAGAGAGAGAGAGAGAGAGAGAGAGAGAGAGAGAGATGGGAACTGATTGTTCAATTATCTCTATCTATTTCCTTTATCTTGCAATTAAAATTGACAAAATTGTTTTGTCTGGCACCCGCAGCTATCTTATCTGTTTCCATATAATATCACATATACAAATTGCTTGCATTATTTCATTTTATTCGAAAGGACGGACAGTTAAATGCCTATACCAGCATTCGTTTTGACTTAATTATCATAACTATAACAGGAAAATGTGCCGATTTTGTAACTAATATTTGTGCAGGTACATTTATCCATATTTGAGTTAGAGATGAATGTGTACTGCTTGCACTACTGAGAAATAACCTTTCATTTTGGTAATCCTCGCACGTGAAGGTGACCAAGGTCATTTAAGTTTAGCCCAAGAGCAAAAAACTGTGCAAACCGCGGCTTTTCAAAAGGTTTATATTTATTTATTTATTCCTCTCTTTTTAGCTTCTGCAACAATTTGAATGTATTTCGTCTTGTGAACGAAAAATGTAAGCAGATAAAGGCAAACATTTTCGAGCTATTTTTCGGTCAGATTACTATACATACTTCACACTTTAATTGTCTTTGCATAACTTTTAGTATAATGGCTCGTTTGTTTCTTGAAGCACTTTCCGCTCTCGTCAAGAGAGGTGACAACGGATTGTCAGACGCTGAAAAACAGCAGATGCTGGACAGCCACAATTCCAAGCGGAGTTCAGTCAGTCCATCCGCTGCTTCGATGACTAGATTGGTAAGATTTACACACATGCATGTAGGTTCAAACACGCACGCACGCACACACACACACACACACACACACACACTGCTACTAACACTGTGTATCCCATGTACATTTAAGCAACATCTTTATGAAGGCTGCAAATGAAGACAGAGTTGAAGTAGCCTACATAAAAGTTGATCCAAATAAAGCGAGTGAATTTTTTTCCGATTTCGATTTATTTCAATACTACCAATTTACATGTATCTCGTGTCAATATGGACAAATATGTTGGGTAGAAGTTTAGACAGGTTCCAAGGTACACTACTAGATAAAAAATAAATAAAACTAAATTTCAGACGTGGGACGACGGTCTTGCTGCAGGGGCGCAGTCCTGGGCTGAAGGATGCGGCTGGGGCCACAGCACAGTGGCTGACGGTGAGAATCTGTATACATCCTCCAACTATCCTGGGCCAACGGAGGCCGTAGACAGCTGGGACAGTGAAAAACAGTGGTTTTCCTTGTCCTCCAACTCCTGCAACCCTCCTCCTTTTGAAAGTTGTGGACATTATACACAGGTAAAAACATTCTGAAACAGGACTTGAAACACTTGAAACACGTTTGGGTTTGTCACCCTTGGTTGTCGTAATGTTTGGCATGTGTTACGTATCTTCCAGGACCGAGGAGAGAAGATTTTCACTAGATTTGCAGAGATATATTTATTTTTGGTGTTGCACGCTCTAGAACCGTCTACAAACTGCCTTTTACACCGCAAAGGGTATTGAATGAAAAATTTGCAACGAATGGCAGTGATTAACATATTCACATTTGCACACTTATTTGTATATCACACCGTAAAGTTTATAAATGTCATATTTAGACGACTTAAGTTCCCGCAAAATCAGAGAGTGTTTGGACAAAAGTAATAAATTGTCACACAATAGGCACAAGCGAGATAGCCCTTGCAAGACAACTGTGTTAACACCACGGGATATTTAAGCCTTAAAGGTAGCTAGGAAGTACAACAGCTGTTGAATGAACCAATTAAGGTTACATTTTCATTTTTCACTAGGATAAAGGATCAATCAGAGACTTAACTAGACAGACAGTGTGTTAGATGTGAAATATAATGCTTATTGTTTGTGAATGTATCAGCTGTAAAACTCAATACGATGTCATAATGGTGCCACACTGCGAAGTCGGAGCGACATCGCCACGTCGAAATGGCGCCGTATATTTGTTTGGTGGTATACAAGCACCGCCATTTTCTCCTACACTTACATGTAGCGATATTATTCAACATGATGCGAACATATGGTGTTCTGATTTTTCTGCAAAGTTAAGAATGTTCCCATGACATTTGTTCTTTCATTAAGGTCGTGTGGGCTGATACTAGCAAAGTTGGCTGTGGTATAAAGAAGTGCACCAAGAATTCACCATTTGGCTCAGACTTTCCCACGTGGTATTATGTCGTCTGCAGATATTCACCCGCGTGAGTGTGAATAAGCAGAATTTTTCTTTATTTTTCCTTTCTCTCTCTTTATCGAATGAAGCTTTATTACCAATCAATTGTTTTGATAATTCCAAATATTGACACGATGAATGTAAAAACGATAATTTGTGAAGAACAAAAAAGTTCATATTACAGTGATATTGCCCAAAAAATCAACATGCTAAGGATTTAAAAATGCAGCGTTATATTATCAATGAGGTATAGGTATACAAAACGTTTTTTTCTTGGCGGAGGTCTGCGTTCTCAAAGTGTTCTCCAGTTTTGCTATGTTTTATTTTTCAGAGGAAACTGGATGGGAACTAAACCATACATTGCAGGACCAAGCTGCTCCAAGTGCAACACCGGAGAGTGCAAGAACAACCTCTGTGGTTAGGATTGTGTGGTTAGTTATTGTTGGTACACAGCATTGGACAGCTCTCTCTCTCTCTTTCTCTCTCTCTCTCTCTCTCTCTCTCTCTCTCACACACACATACACATGCGCACACATACACGTGCACATTTTCAGGTGTTATTTAAACTGTTTTTTCGTCATTACAATAACCAAGGCCGCAAGTTCAGCAAAACCAGAAAAAAATGTGAGTATTTGGATTTTTTTTTAGAGATTCAGCCACGCAGTCAAGTTCAATCTGTTTTGTGTTTACTTACGAAAAAAAAAGGGGGGGGGGGGTCACCGTGCATCTATTATCTAATAGCCAGGTAATTATACATGTACATGTAGGTTATCATTCTCTCATGCCGGTCCAGCTATATCACTAACATATAGTGCTCTACCTATAATAATAATAATAATAATAATAATAATAATAATAATAATATTTTACAGGTGCACGTTAACATGCAGCAGGGAGGTAATCAAATATGGACACTAGCCGCAGTTATATTATTTGTGTCCATAGCTGGACGTTTCAGAGGCTATTCGGCATAAGAGAACTATATCAATCTTATATTCATATGTATTACGTGGTGATGGTACTTGCAAGGCACGAGGATGAAAATTGTATCAGATGACGTCGAGTACTCCTAACTCTTATATTAAACGATTTAAAAGGGACATTCCTTGATTATCGGATGTATTAACATTTGTGATGATTACATGTATAACTTGTACTAGTACCTGTGTATTTTTGGCTGGTACCAACGAGGTACCATTAGACACCAATTTTGGGCAATAAAGCTAACCTGTTTTGAACAGTTCATCTGTACCCACGGCTGAAACCCCACTGCCAACCATTCACTCAGAATAAGACCTTTTTTTGCTGCTGTGTTAGTTACTTGATATATACAGCTTGGGTTTGCTTTTTCTCTTTGGATGATATAAGAAAAAAGAACTGACAATAAAACTTGACTCAAACGGTCAAATGAACTATCAATGTTATGCTGTTACAATTCATACATTGGTTATTTTAATAAGACCACTAGATGCCGTAGAGGCTGCACTGAGTTTTCAACAATTTTCAAAGTTAGCTGCGCTAAATGTTTTGGCATTTAAAACATAAGGATGTTGTAATGATTTAAATATTCATTACAAAATATTATTTCAATTTTCTGAAGTTTGATTCCTAAAACAGAAACGAATAAAAACCTTACTTTCTTGAAGCGGTTTACATCTTTGTTCATTTTGTTTTAATTTTCATTTTATATTATTCAAACAAGGAGAACATTATGGATTTACTTTTTTATCATTTGGAATCTTATGTGAAAACAAGCAAACTATGGTGTTACTTTTGAGCCTTAGCTCCGTGTCAGATGCAATCAATCCAAAAAAAAACAAACAAACAAAAAAAAAAAAACGAAATTTCACGCAACAAATAAAAATGTCTACGATTCAAGGCCACCATACAAAACCCTGTGTTTTGTTCAGTGTGAAAACGAGACCATTCCCTTCTGTGCAGTGCGTGTGCTGTGCATGTGTGGATGACAGGCTTCGTTCTTATTGATTGGCAAGCCACTGAAAATTAAAACTTTCTAATTGAAGATGCATAAACTGCCAAACCCAAGTTCACAAAGAACAATGGCTCGTGAATAGGCAAAACAGAAGTAAATTAATAATTCCTTTAAAGTTTTACCGTTTGGAGACAGGTGATTGCTGCTCACTGCTGCTGATTCATCAATAAATGTGCCGCAGCTGTTACATAAATCTATTACCTTGCCCGTATGTTCATTAACTACTGGTTGAAAAGCTTACGTTATTTTTCCTACATAAACTCATGAATATTTCACACTCTATATTTGTGCTTTAACAATTGATTGATGTTTGAGTGCACATTAAACTTTTTGGCTTTATTGATCAAAAAGTATGTCATTGAGTAATACAAATATCCAGTCTTCTATTGTGAGATATGCTGACTAATTTATTATAACATCAAATCTGACTTAAGATATCAGCCAAAAGAAAAGAACACATCAAGAAAACCATATCAACAGTTTGTTGTCAGTATTAACTTTAAGCATATATACATGTATTAAAGATTATGTTTATCTCCGGATCAGTGATATGCAACACAGTAAAATGGCATATTACAGTAAATCGTAAAAAAGTATGACATCCAGCAGCCGCTTGCAGAGCCCTCACCCTGCGTGTCATATCCTCTGACAAGTTTCTCATTTTCTGTTTAGACCACGGTGGAAGTGAAGTACAAAAGACCCAGACGTGGTGTAACTCGCATAACCGCACGTCTCGCATGAATGCGTTATAACCCGCTAATGGACCCGTGGTCTAAATAAGATCCCTCGTCAGCGAGGGTTATGTAACATCCACTCGTACTACGCATTCGTGTATGCCACATAACCCTCGCTGACTCGGGGTCTGTCTATTACATATAGAGTCGCTTAATTGCCCTTTCAGCTAGTGTCTCTGCATATCGGGTAAATTTCCATTGGTAGATCCGGGTGACGTCATAGGCAACGTCAAGTGAAAGAGCGTCTAAATACTATGACCGTTGTTGCGCGTATTAAAGGCAAGTTAAAGTCTATATTTGCACACTGTGGTGAAGCAGCTCAGAGTAATTGTTCAGGAAAAGATGCTGACTTTAAAACTCTTGGTTCTGACTATTGTAGCTTTTTTGCCTGAACAGGGTAAGTAACAGATTACCTATGTTTTGCAAAATGTTGTAATTTGAACAAATGCATGAGAGAATTTGAAGCTGACAGTTTTACCAAAACACATCGACATCTTGAATATGCACAGGAATTGCGGCGTATGCAAAAATACTCGGAAGTTTCACACGCGATCGATACACGTACTTGTACAAGATATTGGTTTAAATTTCATATAAGTCAGATCATTTGTTCTTAAATCCACTAGAATCGTACTGGTTGGTATAATATTATGCTCAGACAAAGTAAGGTCATTGCAGATGAAGCCGACTTTAGTTTGAAAGTGCCTTTTCCGGCTTCATGATGTTTCATAATTACGCGTCCCAGAGAAGAGATAATTTCAGCAACCTTTGAAGTCTCAGTCGGGCATATCATAGTCATACTAGTTCCAGGAAACAACAGCTATGGACTGTGACAGGTCAGGTATAGAGACAGGTACAGCGTGATTGCTCACAGTCGTTCATGATTCTCCATAACGTGCTTGACAATCTTACCCAGTTTCAAGTGTATATTCATATCTTGCTATGGGTTTTTCAGTATCATTTGAAATAATTGTTGTAGTGAGGAATGACAACTGTCTAAAGCTTTCAAGCGTTTATTCACCGACTCCATTTTTCATACAATTTTAAAAGTATTTATACTCTATTTCTCCGTACAGATCATGTATTCACTATTTTTTACCATAGTCTTTGCGTGATTACAAGGAATTTCTCACGTTGCAAACCACGATGCAACATTTCCTTATTAGGTAATTTCTAAGATTTGTTTTCAATTAAAATATTTAAAATATTATTTGAATTACTCATGCTTAGACCATATCCATCCTTAGGTTGCATGTATTTAACACGTGTCAGAAACTTGCCATTCTATTGAGAAATTGACCAATTAAATTATACTATATGTGACTTTGACATGTTCCATCTTTTTCTACCATAAAAACATTTTCTACACTTATTGACTCTTAAAAATTAACTTTCACTCAATAAATCACTATCCTTTTACTCATTTGATTCACATATTTTTTGTTTGTTTACTTCATACACGGAACATGATAATTATGATATTATAAGTCCATTATGTACACTTGTACCGTACTACTAAGGAATAGTCTTTCATTTTGGTCATCCTTGCACACCTAGTTGATGAAGGTCATTTACGCTTATTTCAAGCTTTTGAATTACTGTTCAAATAACCAAACTATATGTACAACATGTAGCTTTCCACAACTTCGTATTTATTCATCTATGTACTTCCTTATGTCTCGAGACTCTTTTTTTTTCGATTTTTTCTCTTTTCCAATCCGAAGCAAAAAAAAAGCGATAACAAATGGAAATACATCTATCGAAATACAAAAGGTATTATGCATACGGCTCATTATTATTTAAGACTTTAACTCTAAGGAATTTTTCTTTTTTTATTTTGAAAGCATTTGTCGTGGTCCACAACAGAGAAGGTGGATTGACGGAAGCTGAAAAACAGCAGATGCTAGACCGTCACAATTTGAAGCGGAGTTCAGTCAGCCCATCCGCTGCTTCGATGACTAGATTGGTATTATATTTAAAATGTTGTTTTGACTCCTTGAAGTTACCAGTTGATCCACTAGAGCGAATATTGATTTAGCTTTTACCATTCAACTGGACGTATTTTCACAAGTTTCGATATAAGTTATGCTTCTGTTCACAAAAAGTGTGGTAGGAATATAGTGAACAATTAGATTGTTTAAGTCAGCGTGTACCACTTTATACAAAAAAAAAAAAATGTATAAAGTTGTATAAAGTTGATAAGATCAACGAGAAGCAATCCATGCACTTAGAATATGTTTTAAGTCCTTTTATTTGTACCTTTAAAATCGACGTGATGTCCAGAGGGCTGATTATTCAGAGGCCTAGTACAGTACAAGTAAATTCTAGTAAGCTAGTGGGAATAGTAAACACACACATATATACACACACCTGCGCACAGAGAGAGAGAGAGAGAGAGAGAGAAAAGAGAGAGAGAAGAGTCTTTTACACGTTAAATCAGGCTGATGGTATAAGAAGACTGAACTGGTCGGACTAATACCATGCCAAATAAAAAAATTAAAAATTTTTTATGGATTAGCTATGTTTCTCTTTTTATGAAATGGACATGGTCGTTCAAATAATTTGACTTCAACCGACTTAAAGTTAAGACTAGTTTTCGAACTGTACATGTAGATCTTTTTATGAAACAGGTTAAAAGTAATTCTAATAATGTTTTATCAGATATGGGACGACAGACTAGCTGCAGGGGCGCAGACTTGGGCAGAGGGCTGTAAACTCGCCCACAGAATAGGGAATTACGGTGAGAATTTGTATGTCTCCACCAATCCTCCTGAACCAACGGACGCCGTGGACGGCTGGGACGAGGAGAAAAAGTGGTACGATTTGTCCTCGAACTCCTGCAACGACGGTGAAATGTGTGGACATTACACTCAAGTAAGGGACAAAGAAAATAATTTTACCCCAAAATCTCGTAGCTGTCTACAAAATCGTGTTTAAATCCACAAAGGGTAATAAATGAAAACCCGCAGTTGAATTGCGAACGATCACTGTTTTATAGCTATAATTCACATTTGTACATTATTTTCATTCTATATAATGCATGCATAATGATAAATTATATTTACATGTAACTACAATAAATGAATAATAAAAATAATAATTATAATAATAATAATAAAGAGCGTAAAACATGTTAAGTGCACACACTTATCTTACACATGGCCCTCTGTACGTTACTTTTGGTTTTTTAAAAACAATATTTTAAAAGTATCCAAGTCTTTGGAGATTTTTTGATTTCAGAGTGTAGGCAGTTCCATCTTTTAATCGAGGTCCATATTGGGCCTTTAGTTAGTATGTCTTTATGTCTGCCAACAAGATATTTCCCTTATTATTTGATCGGGTGTTTCGACTGTAGTGTCCATGGTTGCAATTCCCAGTAAGTCTTTGATGTATTTAGGTGAGAGTCCATATAAATATTTAAAATCTAATCTGGCTTTCTTAAATTCTATCCGTTCATAAATTGTTTGTCATTTTAGTTTTTTGAATAGTGAATCCTTTATTTAGACGACTTAAATAAAACCTTTCGAAATTACAGAGCGTTTAGATTAGATATTTCACTTGTCACCTTAAAAATTAAGTTGCCGAGATCCTCTTTGCAAGCCACCATCGTACTTGTGCTGAGGTACTTGAGACCGGGTCAAGTTAGCCCAGTAAGACACGTACATGTACTTTAGGTCTTGTATACCCAACTGGGAATGAGTTAAAGCAACAAAACCGGTTTTAAAGCAAGGGCCAAGAACTTAGCTACATGTACATATGCAACGCCATTTTGTAATGAATGATAACGAATTATTAACTCTTGTTTTTAAAGAAATTAATAATTTCAATCGTAATCTTGTATTTACTAACCCCTTGACTTGGTTCTAACGGCACATTCACAATTACTAGTATCAAGTATACAGATCTCCTGGTGTGAAACCTCATGTTACCAATTTAGACTTTTTTATGACCATGGTTTTTTGACATTGTTGGATACGGTCACTTAACAAGACAATGTGATCATTTTTTTACCTCGTAGTTGCTTTTTCAGAAATTGACGAGGGGCCAACTTACCCCGGGGTCCTACTGGCCCCGGTCTCCCTATATTTGGGAGATATGCTAGAGGTGAAATCTATGATTCATGCACCTATCGGTGTGTGAATGTAAATAATAAGTTATATAACTTAACACAAGTTCATGATGACATCATATTGCGGTAGCAGGGCGACATAGTGACGTCGAAATATCGTCATATATTTGCTTGGTGGTGCGCTAGCAATATTCTATAACATTATATGAACAGATAGTACTAGTGTTAAAAAGTTAACCAGTGAAAGAATCCTGAAAGATATGTTCTTTCATTAAGGTCGTGTGGGCCACTACCCGGCAAGTTGGCTGTGGTATAAATATGTGCACTAATGGGGCAATATTTGGCACATGGTATTATATCGTCTGCAGATATTGGCCCCAGTAAGTATGAATACGCAGAATTCTTCTTCAGTTCTTACTTTCTTTTTTCTTGTCGAATGGACTGTTGTTAAACATGGTTTGTTTTGAGAAAACTCGAAGAATGGCCATAAAACATGTACATGTAGGAGCGTTCTAAAAATGAATATAAGATGTATTACAATGATATTGCCTAAAAACCAACATGCCAAGGATTTAAAAAAGCAGGGTCAGATAAGGAATGAAGTATACAATACGGTTGTCCTTGGCGGAGGTCTGCATTCTCGAAGTGTTCTCCAGTTTTGCTATGTTTTATTTTCCAGAGGAAACTGGATGGGAACTAAACCATACATTGCAGGACCAAGCTGCTCCAAGTGCAAGACCGGAGCGTGCAAGAACAACCTCTGTGGTTAGGATTGTGAGGTCAGTTATTCTTGGACAGCTCTCTCTCTCTCTCTCTCTTTCTCTCTCTCTCTCTTGCACTCACACACACACACACACACACGTGTGAATTTTCAGGTGTTATTTCAAAATGCTTTTTTTCGTTTTTACAATAACCAAGGCGTAATGTCCAGCCAAACCAGAAAAACGTGGTGATTTCTTGGATTGTTATCACCGAGCGTTATTTCTATCGATGCTTTTAGAGGTTCAGCCATGCAATGAAGTTCAATTTAAATTCAACTTCAGAAAAAAAGGGGGGACGCTGTGCCTCTGTTATCTATTATACCGGTCCAGCTATATCACTAACATATACTGCTCTACCTTACAATAATAATAATAATAATAATAATAATAATAATAATAATAATAATAATAATATTTTACAGGTGCTCGGAAACATGTAGCAGAGGTAATCAAATGTGGACACTGCAGAGTTGTTTTCTCTGTGTCCACAACTGCGGGACGTTTCAGAGGCTATTCGGCATAAGAGATCTATATCAATCTTATATTTATATCTATAACGTGGTGACGGTGCTTGCAAGGCATGGGATAGGATGTCGTATAAGATGTTGCCAGGTACTTCCGAAACTTTATTAAATCATCGAACATAATCTTCATTAATTGTCAGATGAATTGTTATTTGGGATGAAAACATGTTGCCTCTGACCTTTATGGCGCTGCTAACTTATATCAAAGTTTAGCTCATTTAAAGAGTACAACAAAATATAGCAAGTTTTGGGTCAATATAACTATAACGTGTGTTGAGCAGTTCATATGTATCTTCAGCGCTAAGCAATTATTTATTCAGAATAAGTAATAATGCATTTTGTTGTTTGGTATGGTTCTTAATATTATACACATACTGGACAATAGAAGTGTTACCCCCCTGAATCAGAGAAATCAAAGTTATAATGCCTGGTTTACTTATAATTAATTGTATTGTTGGTCTTTTTGTGAAATTTGATATTAATAAAATGATACCAGGGGCACATCATTCCACAGTCATTTATCTCCAGCAAAGTATTGGTTCAGTAGGAGTGACACTTCTATTGTCCAGTGTATGTATTAGGATTTGCTCTGTTTTCTGTATTTGAATGAATCAAGAATCAAAAACTGACATTCGAATCTGAGTCGAGACTCAAACGTGGCTCAAAGTCCAATGAACTTTCAGCGCTAAGCTATTACAATCCATAATTTAATTATTTTGATAAAAACCGACGGATGCCGTAAAGACAGTTTTCACTTTTCAACAATGTTTAAGTAAATTGCCTTGTAAAGTCATCTGCTTGACATGTGAAAAATTATAGAATACTGTTATGATTTCAATGATAATAAACAAACAAACAAAAAATTCAATGTATGCTTTCTGAATTGGAAAAGAATAAAAACCTTACTGCTTCAAAACAAGAGTTATATTTTCATTTTGCTTTACTTTTGATTCCATTTTATTTTAACGAGGAGAACATTATGAATTTATTTTCATGTATTTTGGAACTTTACATGAGAACAAACATAACTTTGGTATTGCGATCTGCCTCAACAAAAGCAAAGGAAATTGATAGCTATTTATTGTAATTTTGTGTTTGATGATTGATTGCTTTACCTCTGAAATATAGTAAGCCCTATTTTCAAATTATATCTCACGACACCAACGCAGCTACAAGTATGGTGGTTCTTAAGGTCTATCCAGTACTCTTAAAATTTCGTATGAATGGGAACATCACAAACGACAGATTTGCTTCCTTCGTCCCTAATCTACTCATACATAATGGCCCCGTAGAGGTGAGGTGCTATAGACGTTAATGTACATTAAGTGAGTCTACTTGTCTTAATACGCAGAAAAATTAAGGAAAATATCTTGATTCACTTACCGTCTGAATGTATTTATATTTACTACCTCGTCTTCCGGTTTGGAAAGTCAACCTACTTGTAGGAGTACATATATTAACCAAGGGAGGATCCAGGATTATTTGAAGGGGGGGGGGGGGGGGCACGGATACGTTGAAGTCAGAGTTGAAGGAAGGACAGAAACCACCAAATATTTTCCATTGACGGCCATACTAAGAATTGCCTGCAAAACTGCATGAACAAAATTACTTGGTGAAATATTTCTCATCCCTTTGGATAGCACACAAATGGCACAAAGCTTTACTGTTGCAAAGCTTCTTTTTTACCGGCAGTACTAGAACACGTGCACCCCTCATGTTTTTACATGTAAACAACCCACTACACCGCTCACAGCCAGTAGCTCCCTCCGCCAGAGGTCTCACGACTGCACGAAACCTGTGCCTGGTCCTGAAAAAAAAAAAACTTAGTTTACAGCCTAGCCTGCTAGTTGACACCATTAACACACAAGAAATGTCAGGAAAAATTAGGAAAAAATCACTAATTTTTCTAACAGCACTACATTCGTCTGTGAATGATCTATTTGGTGGTTTCTATCCAGGTTTCCACAAAACAACATATACAATAAGTCTCGTATCAACTTGCAACATATTGTTTTTACCTCTACCATTATGAAAACATGGAAGCATACATCTACTGTATAAAGAACCAGCTATAGGTATACGAGTATTACGTAAAATATCACTAAGAAAATATGTGCAACTTAACTAATGCCACCGACCCTAAAAAAGAGGATTATTTACCAATATTCCACTCGTTTGTTTCACCAGCAAGAGATCTGTACCAAGAAAAATGTACACTGTATGGATTAGTTAAAAATTTAGGAAAGTGGCACAACGACTGTCGTTTGATATTAGTACAGGGTATACTAGCGCTGGTGCTAAGAGTTGAGGGTTCCTCGATTACCAATAATTACAAATAAATTCACAATTGTGAACAATTTCACCCGTTGGTGACAGGTGCGTGCCACTTAATGCTGCTAATTCATCGATAAATGTGGTCCACCTGTTAGATTTGACTATATAATCATACCTGTATGCTCATTTACCGTTGGTTGAAAGTCTTGTAATGAGGTTAAATTATCCATTTTCCCGTGCAAGATCACATGAATATTTTACTATTTACACATGTGCTAATTTTCCTTGTTTATACAATTTACGTACAAGCTAAAGACATGGGGGGTTGTAAGAAGGAAAGGATGTCCTCCCTGAGATTTTTCTAAATAACATTTTTGAAATCTTTATTTAGTGATATCGAACAATTATTCTTGCACCCTGTCCATCTGGAGTTTCTTACTTCTCTGCTCTGCTAGCGTCCAGTTGCATCCAGAGCATCATACTCGGAACTGCACATATCTGTATGCATTCAACAGTTCCCAGCCTCAGCCGAGTAATTATCTCGGAATTGAAATTCAAAGTCCACATCAAAACCACCCATGTAATTTTTTAAAGATATTTTAAAGCCCCAAGTACATGGAGTGTATACTGTTTACCTTTTTTGGGCAAGTAAGCTAAATTTTGCCAAAAAAGTAATCAGTAACAATTTATGATATTTTTACTCTTGCAGTTTAATTGGCATGGTACACTCAACTGTTTTATTTTGTTTTGGGATGTCATATATTGTTAATTAAACTGCTTTTTATAAAACTTTGGTGCAAATTGAAACACACACGCGTTAAATGTGCTGGTTAGAAAATTGTATCTGTACTGTAGCAATGTTAAATGAAAAACATACATTGTACCTCTACACTGAGCACTGAAATCTAACATACACATAGTTACACAATCGATACACTGCTCTTGACTTTTAGGTGTTAAAACACTGCTTGCGGTAACTGGGTGTTGAAATGATTGATATAATTATACAGTAGAAGAAAAACATTTGAAACAACCCTAATATAAAAAGTGCAAAAAGTGCAAATGGGGTATACGAAAAAAAAATTGAAACCACTCTTCCCAACATTTTAGACGCCCTCCCCATTGTTTTTCAAATGTCACATCAGCTGATAAATAAAACGGAGGCAAACTGTGCACAAATTGTGGTATGATTGGTCGATCTGTGTGACGTCATAGCTGTCTTTAAATATATAAAAGGCCGTTGTGTCTGTATTTGCTATATTGCGGAAGCGGACACTAGAAGAATTGCTCATCAGAAGAAAATGCTGACTCTAACGGTGTTGATTCTTACCTTAGCGTTTTTGCCTGAACATGGTAAGTCACAGTTGGCATGCTTGTATACATTGCAGTAAACGGTAAAATTGAAACATATAAATACTGGCACGGTTTTACATGTACAAGCACGCAGCGATATCTTGATATGCACAGATGGTTAAGAACGCGTACAACTGCAAAGATTTAACTTCTGCTATTACGTCCGTTATAATCTTTGTGGCCTGGGGATCTAAATTACTGTCGGAGCAGGTTCTATAGGTAAACGCGGAAAATGACAATATGCAGAAAGATTGAAAGCATAAAGGTCGGGGTAAAATATCACATATATATTTTGTGAAGGAAATGCTAACTCTATCGATGTGTAATTTTATATGTTATTGCTCGATTATTTCTATTTCTTGAAGCATTTTCCGCTGTCGTCAAGAGAGGAGACAATGGATTGTCAGACGATGAAAAACAGCAGATGCTAGACCGTCACAATTTGAAGCGGAGTTTAGTCAGTCCATCCGCTACCTTGATGACTAGAATGGTAAAATTCACACACTCGTACGCACGCGCAAGCACATACAACTTTAATATTGCACATGTTTTACAACAAGAATGACATGGCTAATGAGTGAAACTGATACACTGATACGTACGAGACCATTACCGAATTATCTTGAAATGAGTTGGATGAATTTTTAAGAAATTTAAGACCAGTCAGACTTCAGTGCGGCCTTGGGACACTCTGAGAATAAATTCAACTGTTTTTTTTTTCAGATGTGGGACGACGAACTTGCTGCAGGTGCGCAGGCGTGGGCCAATAACTGTAACTTCGGCCACAGCGGCGGGAATTACGGTGAGAACCTGTATGGTTCCACCGCCCCTCCGGGAGCAACTGCCGCCGTGGACAGCTGGGACAATGAGAAACAGTGGTACACGTTGTCCTCCAACACATGCAACCCTCCTCCTGGAAAAAGCTGTGGACACTATACGCAGGTCAGTTTAGATAAAGAAAAAAAAAACTTTTTTCAAAGAAAAAACGTTTTTCAAAGACGTCATTATGAAGTCACAATGCAACATTGCAGCGATTAGGTAACTTCACATTGTCTTGTACCCCTAGCAATTTTATGTGACATTATATGATCAGACGGTGTGAAGAAATTCATCCGTGAACGAATACTATCCATCCTTTTTTCCGTTAGGTCGTCTGGGCTGCCAGTAACAAACTCGGATGTGGTATGAAGAAGTGCACCACGGGATCGTCCACGTGGTACTATGTCGTCTGCAGATATTCGCCTGCGTGAGTATGAAAAGAAAAACAGCCTCGCCTTTTTTGTTGAAGCAAGTAATGATGATAATTCCGCAGTTCCATTTGCAGGGGGTGTGGGAGGTTTTATTTGTCCTATGCCCTATCACTNAAAAAAAAAACTTTTTTCAAAGACGTCATTATGAAGTCACAATGCAACATTGCAGCGATTAGGTAACTTCACATTGTCTTGTACCCCTAGCAATTTTATGTGACATTATATGATCAGACGGTGTGAAGAAATTCATCCGTGAACGAATACTATCCATCCTTTTTTCCGTTAGGTCGTCTGGGCTGCCAGTAACAAACTCGGATGTGGTATGAAGAAGTGCACCACGGGATCGTCCACGTGGTACTATGTCGTCTGCAGATATTCGCCTGCGTGAGTATGAAAAGAAAAACAGCCTCGCCTTTTTTGTTGAAGCAAGTAATGATGATAATTCCGCAGTTCCATTTGCAGGGGGTGTGGGAGGTTTTATTTGTCCTATGCCCTATCACTTTTTCAGGAAAGTACCTCCTGGAAGGTTCGGTAAAAAGGGACTGGGTTTTCCTCGGGGGGAGGGGGGTGTGTGATCACAGTTCACGAGAAATAACACCATAAATATTCACAAATCACAGTAAATAAAACTTCATAGGAGCGGATCCAGAGCTATTTTCTATTAGTCTTCCAAATTATCTTTCTTGATTCATCCTCCAATTTTGACCGTCTTCCGACAGAAAAAGTTAATGTTGCCCGTCAATGTAAACTTGAAGATCACGCGAGTAGGAAGTCCTGAAGTCCTGAAGTCGGAAGTCACAATTTACCGGCATATTGCCCCAAGAAGCTAAGAGGATAAAACGCTGCATCCACGAGTCATGGGATGCTTAATTCACGAATCAGGCTAAATAATATGAACGTTTCATGCATCTTGGGAAATAAAAAATAGGCTTTCACGGGTAACGAAAATAGCCCATGGGACCATCAGGGAAATCAGATTGTTTATGGACTAGATATCAAAAATGCTTTACAAACCATGATGAAATTTACAAGATAGGCAGTTTTACATGCACTAGTGGGAAAGGAGTGATTCCAGTAACAACTTTCGTAAAAATATAACATATGTGCCCCATATTGTAACTAACGTGTTGGCAGTTGACCACATACTGTATGAATCCCTAGTTTTCGGTATTTTACTTATTTATTTATATATATTTATATCTCCAGAGGTAACGTGAAGGGCAGTGCGCCCTATACTCAAGGAACAAGCTGCTCGGGATGCGTGAGCAACTCCGACCTGACCGGAGAATGCCGAAACAAACTCTGTCGTACGTACTGAGTAACTGATTATTGTTGGTATACAGTATTGGAAGGAAAGCTCTCTCTCTCTCTCTCTCTCTCTCTCTCTCTCTCACACACACACACACACACTTGTACACTTTATGGTTTTATGGCAATTTTCTGATAAAAGTTGACCTGTGTTGTAGCGTTATTCATTATAACGAAATTTCAAACTGTGCAATTTCTACACAGTGTGCCGAAAGCGTGCCTGAGAGCTTTAGTGTGATTTATAAACAATTATTTTGGTTGTTACAGTTACCAGAGAGGAATGTTCAACCCACCCTGAAAACTGTGGTAAGTTTGACTCACTGCTATTCTAATCATAAATTTTTCTGTATCTGCTATTAGTATACAGAATAAACCAAGTCATCAAAATGCATGGATATTTTCAAGATCTGCTTAAAAAAAAAAAAAAAAAAAACAATTAGAATTAAAACTCTCTCCCATGACTCCCACTGATTTGAAAATAACTTGGTATTGAAATTTAATTCACGTCAACTCTTATCCCTTTGTCTGCAGGCGAGCAGGCCTGTGGCGGACAGCTGTTTGATTGTAAAAATGGAGGAACCGCCAACTACGAAACCTGCGGCTGTGACTGCGCACAATACTTCACTGGCGCCACCTGCGAGCAGTGTGAGTATTTAATATAAGGTTTTTATATGTGAGTCGAGACTTAACGTAATACCATGGTTATGTTTTTTTATATGTAAAGTGTGTCATACATAACAACCTCAGCACAACGCTGAGCTAGGCGCGCCGGGCATGGTGGACGTAGTACAGTATCATCGCATGCCAAAAGGCTAAATATTACAGAACATTATCAAATTTTTTTATTTGAGTGACTTTATTGAGTACAAGATTATATACAAGAACTTTAAAAGAGCATAATAAAACAACTTACAACTAATAGTACGACATCACTTTAAAATAATGCAGAACATTATCAAATACAGTCAGAAAGTTTTCATTTATGATAGATCCAGATATTTAACATACTGGTAACAGGTGACTGTTTCGTCTATTCACTCTGTTCACAGACTTGGCCACAACTAATATCAATTATCAAACACATATATTACGTATACAAGTACTAACTACATTAAATTTGTATATGTACATTTATAAAATTAGTTGCGATACATACATGTATATATCTCTTATCTTTACAGATGACTGTGCTCAGATGGGCAACAATGGGGCAGATGAGTGGTATTGCAGCCAGTGGGCAGATAATCCAAATACTTGCGCAGACAACATGATATTCAACGGGGCAGTAGTGAAGTACGGGAGCTGTCCACAGTTGTGCAATTTGTGTCCTTAACTTCCGGACGTTTACAGATCACGTGACCTATTTGACAAGTTTGAGTGACTGGTACCAACTGGAAGTTTGTAGAGAATATGACGCCGATTTTAGGTCACTATAGCTGACATGTGTTCAGCATGATGAACAACTATTTATTCAGAATAAGAACTATTTATTTTGCCGTTGGATATGGTGATTGATTAAGAAAGGTTTCTTTTTCTTTTTTGAATAATGTGAAAGAAAAGAAATATGCATTCATGCGTGACCCAAAAGTCTCCTCAATCTTCAGAAATGGTAAACTGGTTATTTTTTTTAAAGCTACCGGCTGTCGTGAGGGTGTTTCCTTTTTTTACTTTACATACCCGTTTACTGTGCTGTCTAAACACATTAACCTCCTAACTTTCCATTTCTGAAAAATGTTTATCAGAACAAGCAAACAAACAATGTTAATTAAATATGCCACAACCAAATTGTGTGCAGGATGATAATCGATTGGTTCACATTTTCTAAAGCTTTGCTATGTCACATCATCCATTATGGTTCTGTGCTCTGTCTACTCTGTGAAATAAATACGGTTAAGTAACGGCTAAAATGACTTGAATATATTGAAATTTTTTGAGTAAAGGTTGAAAACATGAAAGTCAGGGTATGCTTTCTGAAATGGAAAAGAATAAAAACCTTACTGCTTTAAAATAAGGGTTATATTTCATTTTGCTTAACTTTTGATTCTATTTTATTTAAACGACGAGAACATTATGAATTTATTTTCATGTATTTTGGAACTTTACATGAGAACAAACAAAAACTTTGGTATTTCCTCAATAAAAGCAAAGGGTTGGCGTGGGTTTCAGGGCCCACTGAAGAGCCCCGAATATTTTTTGGTATAGTTTGGCGAACGGTACCATTTGGTTCGGTTTAGTTCCATATATCATCTAGTAAAAATTCTAATTCCAATAGGGGAATATTAGTGTGACTTTTTTCAAAAACCGAAGTATTTCCCTGACTGATATGAACGCCTGTCTCATACACCCAGTACATACAACGCCTACACTCACTACATTTTTAAATAAAAGCAGCATAAGACCTTAAAACCAAATACTTGAGTAGGCTTAACAAATTTGCTAGAGACCATTGTCACATCCTGCAGCAGCTGTGCAATGTGTTAGGTGTGATAAGAGAGCAATCTGGCCCTCTCTGTAACTGCGAATGCCAATGGCGGAGCGGATGTCATTAACCACTGGCGAAAACTACGCGTGCCGAAAACTTTGGTGTCGAAGGCAGAGATGAAAGAACGTCAGAAACCACCAAATATTTTCCATTGACGGCCATACTAAGAAATGCCTGCAAAACTGCATGAACAAAATTACTTGGTGAAACATTTCTCATTCTCATGGACAGCTCACAAATGGCACAAAGCTATACTATTGCAAAGCTACTTTTTTACCGGAAGTACTTGAACACGTGCACTCCTCTGTTTGTACATGTAAACAATCACTAATTTTCCACCTATTTTATCACAAATCATTAATTTTTCTCACATCAGTACATTCGCCTGTGATTGGTCTATTTGGTGATTTCTGCCTTGCGGGTTTTTTTCTAGGCTCCACCAAACAACATAAACAATAAGACACCATCACCTTGCAACAAATGCCAAAGTACACGAATGGACACTGAATTCAATTCAAAGTCGAAATTGAATAAATAACATTCACTGTTGGTGCTCTTTTAAACACTTGTGAGCCCCAGGTCGTCATTACCCCTCCATTATCAATACTAAGTACATGGAAACATAAATCTACTCTACAAAGAACCACTTATAGTATAGGCGTATTACGTAAAATCTCACTATGAAGACTTGTGCAATTTATCCAATGCCCCCCCCCCCCACCCTTCAAAAAATTATTTACCAATATTCTACTCGTTTGTTTCACCAGCAAGAGATCTTTACCAAAGAAATGTATATTGTGTGGATTGGTAAAAAATTTAGGAAGATGACACAACGGCTGTGGTTTGATACTAGTGCAGAGTATACTAGCGCTGGTGCTAAGAGTTGAGGGTTCCTCGATTACCAATAATTACAAATAAATTCACAATTGTGAACAATTTCACCCGCTGGTGACAATTGTGTGCCACTTACTGCTGCTGATTCATCTATAAATGTGGTTCACTTGTTAGATACGACTATATAATCATACCTGTATGCTCATGTTTTACTGTGGGTTGAACGGCTTGTAAAGAAGTTAAATTATCCATTATTTTCCCTGCAAGATCCCATGAATATTTCACTCTCTACACGTGTGCTAATTCTCCCTGTTTGTACTGTACAATTTACGTAAAAGCTTAAGAGAGAAGGAATGGATGTCCTCCCCGAGATTTTTCTAAATAATCTTTTTGAAATCTTTATTAATTGATATCGAACAATTATTCATGAAACCTGTCGATCTGGATCGAGTCTTTTACTTCTCTGCTCTGCCAGCGTCGAGATGTATGCAGGGCATCACACATATCTGTATGCATTTAACAGTTTCCTGCCTCAGCCAAGTAATTTTCTAGGAATTGAAAAGTCCACATCAAAACCACCCATGTAGTTTTTTAAAGATATTTTAAAGACCCAAGTACACGGAGTGTATACTGTTTACCTGTTTTTTTTAAGCTAACTTTTGCCAAAAAAAGTCATCAGTACCAATTTATGATTTTTTTACTCTCTGCATGCAGTTTAACTGGCGTGATACATTAATCTGTTTTATTTTGCTTTGGTATGCCAATCTACAGTTAATTAATTGCTTTTTATAAAAGTTGTTTTAAAAATGTCACATCAGATATGATAAATAAATCTGAGGCAAACTGTGCACAAATTGTGGTAGGCCTATAATTGGTCGATCTGTGTGACGTCATATCCGACGTCATATGATAGAGCAACCGGGTACCCCAACCGTCTTTAAAATATAAAATACCGTTGTGTGTGTTTTGCACATATGCGGAAGCAGACACTAGAACAATTGCTTTTCAGAAGAAAATGCTATCTCTAACAGTGCTGATTCTTACCTTAGCGTTTTTGCCTGAGCAGGGTAAGTCACAGTTGACATGCTTGTATACATTGCAGAAAACGGTAAAATTGAAACATATTAATACTGGCAACGTTTTACATGTACAAACACGCAGCAATATCTTGATATGTACAGATGGTGCAAAGATTTAACTTTTGTTATTACGTCCGTTACAATCTTTGTGACCTGAGGATGCGAATAACTGTCGAGGAAAATGACAATATGCAGAGAGATTGAAAGCAGATTGAAGGTCGGGGTATGCTTTATAGATGCCCCAAAAGAGAGAGAGAGAGAGAGTGAAAGAGTGAGAGAGAGAGTGAGAGAGAGAGTGAGAGAGCGAGAGAGTGAGAGAGGGAGAGAGAGAAAGAGTGAGAGAGAGAGAGAGTGAGAGAGAGAGTGAAAGAATGAGAGTGAGAGAGTGAGAGAGAGAAAGAGAGAGTGTGAGAGAGTGAGAGAGAAAAAGAGAGAGTGTGAGAGTGTGTGTGAGAGAGATACTGGCAAGCGTCTCTATGAAAATAGCACGTAATTTTTGAAATAGCGTGCGCTATTACATTTAATTGCAAAAAAATGGACGTATAATGCTCGTACCAGTATTCGTTTTGACTTAACTACCATGCTTAATACAACCTAAACCAGTGGGTAATAGTGGTAGTATAAGTAATCACTTCTATTCTGAACTAATCAAGTTATTATACTTAACATTATTTTGGTTTTGCCATCCTCCTACTTCAGCGTGATCAATGTTATTTTAGCATGGTGGCACAGCGACTTCACTTGATCCAACTTCATATATTTATCTGGAGGACGTCCTCTTGGACGATCTTCTTTCTTTCTCTCTACTTAATTTCTAAATTCAGATTCAATATTCGCATATTCTTTCTCTTTTTTTTTTTTTTTTTTTTTGCAATATTAAGGAGTAAAATATCATATACGTATCTATTTTGTGAAGGAAATGCTTACTTATCGATGTGTAATTTTATATGTTATTGCTCGATTATTTCTATTTCTTGAAGCATTTTCCGCTGTCGTCAAGAGAGGAGACAATGGATTGTCAGACGCTGAAAAACAGCAGATGCTTGACCGTCACAATTTGAGGCGGAGTTTAGTCAGTCCATCCGCTGCCTTGATGACTAGAATGGTAAAATACACACACGCATGCGCACGCACACGTACATACACTCTCTACTGCTTTTCTTTGGTCGGTCGCACTATGTTCAGGAAATTATTTGGTATCTTAACTTATGCTAATTAAAGTTTCATCATTTTTTCTACCTTGATAATTACCCTGTGCACGTAGCACACACTCACGCACACACACACACACACAAAAAAAAAATTGAATATTTGGAAGATCATTTAAAGTATCTAGACCATCTCAATTTTTTTTCATCGACGTCAGACACCTTAACAAAACTCGATTCAGTCACGGACGTAATCAGTCAGAAAAATTGGTCCCCACTTTAACATTTACTTTGACCCCAGAAAAAACAGTGATAGTCCGACTAATTTTATTATTGCGTATGTTTTACAACAAGAAAGTTATGGCTAATGAGTGACACTGATACACTGATACATGTACGTACTGGACCATTACCGAATTATCTTGAAATGAGTTGGACGGATTTTTAAGAAAGTTAAGACCAGTCAGACTTCAGTGCGGCTAGGGACACCCTGAGAATAAATTCAACTGTTTTATTTTAGATGTGGGACGACGAACTTGCTGCAAGTTCGCAGGCGTGGGCAGATAGCTGCAACATGGGCCACAGCAACACCGGCGGGAAGTACGGTGAGAACCTGTTTGGTTCCTCCTACCCTCCGGGACCATATAAGGCCGTGGACGCCTGGGACGAAGAGAAACAATGGTACACGTTGTCCTCCAACACATGCAATCCTCCTCCTGGTAAAAGCTGTGGACACTATACGCAGGTCAGTTTAGATAGAGAAAAAAAAAGACGTCATTATGAAGTCACAATGCGACACAGCAGCGGTTAGGTAAGTACACTTTTTCTACTACCCCTAGCAATTTTGTGTGAAATTATATGATCAGACGGTGTGAAGAAATTCATCCATGAACGAATACTTTCATTTTTTTTCCATTAGGTCGTCTGGGCTGCCAGTACCAAACTCGGCTGTGGTATGAAGAAGTGCACCTCGTGGTACTATGTCGTCTGCAGATATTCGCCTGCGTGAGTATGAAAAGACAGCCTGGCGTTTTTCATTATCTTCTTGCTCCTTTTTTGTTGAAGCAAGTAATGATAATAATTCCGGAGGTCCGTTTGCAGGGGGTGTGGGAGGTTTAATTTGCCCATTTAATACAACTTACAGGTTTCCCTTGGGGGTGGGGTGGGGTGATCACAGTTCACGAGATAGTATACCATACGTTCACAAATAACAGTAAATAAAACTTTATTTATATCTCATTGATCACGCGAGTCGGAGTTCCTGAAAATCACAATTTACCGGGCATATTGCCCCAAGAAGGAAAGAGAATAAATCGCCGCATTCACAGGTTATGGGATGCCTAATTCACGAATCAGGCAAAATAATATGAACGTTTCACGCATCTCGGGAAATCAAAATGGGCGTTCATGGTTTCAATGTTTCGAATGCTGTCGCAATGCCGTTAGAATATTTAGAATGCAGTCATAGTGCAGTTAGAATACTGTTCAAATGCCATTCGATAATTTTCCACTTGGAATGCACTTCGAAAGTTTTTGACATGACAAAAACATTCGAGCCGGCCACAAGAATGGGACGAATAACCTGGAATGCACAAACAATTGCATTTTCGACACCATTCTTAATCATTCCGCCTCTAGTGTGACGAGGGTATAAAATCCCGCCAGAATGTTTTGAATTTGCCTCGGATGAGGTGAAATATTAATTTTGCCAGCAATCGAACTACACTACTGTAGTACGCCATTCATAGTATATTCTTAATATTCTTACTGCCTTCTGACAGCATTATAGATATTCCTAGTTTTCCAACTACGTTTGAACTGCATTTGAGAGCTAAACAGCCGAAGGTGCACTCATCATTCCAGGCGAATTCAAGCGCATTCTGAGTATTCCAACGGTGCTCTTACAATAATTAAGGTCAATTTAAAATTCTGTCTCGAATGTGGTGCGAATTTTTAAAATTCTTCATTGAGCCTCATTCTTCGTGATTCCTGCTGATTCAAATTAAGTGTGACGGGGGTATTAGTAATCTCTAGTTTTCGGTATTTAACTATATATATATATATATATATATATATATATATATATATATATATATATATATATTTTTTTTTTTTTTTTTTTTTTCCAGAGGTAACTACGTCGGTGTTGCGCCATATACTCAAGGAACAAACTGCTCGGGATGCGTGAGCAACTCCGACCTCACCGGAGAATGCCGAAACAACCTCTGTAGTACGTACTGAGAAACTGATTATTGTTGGTATACAGTATTGGAAGGAAAGCTCTCTCTCTCTCGCTCTCTCTCTCTCTCTCTCTCTCTCTCTCTCACTTAATTTCATGATTTCATTTTCTGATTTCATGGCTATATCACACTAATTTTCTGATAAAACTTGACCTGTGTTGTAGCGCTACTCATAATGATGAAATTTGAAAGTGTTACACAAGCGTGCCTGAGAGCTTTAGTCTGATTTATAAATAGATTTTTGCGTTGTTACAGTTACCAAAGAATGCGCAGCCCAGCCCGAAAATTGTGGTGAGTCTGACTTACTGCTATTTTAATTATAGATTCTGCTGTATCTGCTATAAGTATTCAACATCACCCAAGGCATCATAATGCATGAATATTTTCAAGATCTGCTTTAAGAAAAAACAATTAGAATTAAAACTCACTCCCATGACTCCCACTGATTTGAAAATAGGTTGGAGTTGAAATTTAATCCCGTCAACTCTACACCCTTTGTCTCAAGGCGACCTAGCCTGTGGCGGACAGCTGATTGAATGTAAAAATGGAGGAACCCTCAACTACAAAACTTGCGGCTGTGACTGCCCACAATTCTTCACTGGCGCCACCTGTGAGCAGTGTGAGTATTTAACATAAAATTGTTATACGTGAGTCGAGACTTACCACGGTTATGTTTTTTATATGTAAAGTGTGTTATACATAACAACCTCAGCACAACGCTGATCTAGTGCATGGTGGACGTAGAACAGTATCATCGCATGCCAAAAGGCTAAATATTACAGAACATTATCAAATACAGTCGGAAAAATTTCATTTATTATACCGGTAGATCCAGATATTTAATTTACTGATACCTGTTGACTGTTTTGTCTGTTCACTCTGACAGACTTGGCCACAACTAATATAATTTATCAAGTACATATAGATATTACGTATACAAGTACTAGCTACAGTAAATTTGTATATGTACATTTATAAAATCAGTCGCGATACATACATGTGTATAACTCTTATCTTTACAGTGGACTGTTCTCAGATGGGCGACAATGGGAAAGATAAGTGGTATTGTTTATATTGGACAGATAATCCAAGTGCTTGCACAGACAACATGATAGTAAATGGGGCAGTAGTCAGGTATGGGAGCTGTCCACAGATGTGCAAAGTGTGTCCATAACTTCCGGACGTTTAGAGATCACGTGACCTATTTGGCAATTTTGTGTGACCATGGTACCAACTGGAATTTTGTAGAAGACATATGACGCCTATTTTAGGTCACTATAGCTTACATGTGTTGACCACGATGATAAACTATTTATTCAAAATAAGAACTATTTATTTTGCTGTTGGATATGGTGATTGATTAAGGAAGGTTTCTTTTTCTTTTTTGAATAATGTGAAAGAAAGGGAATATGCATTCAAGCGTGACCCAAAAGTCTCCTCAATCTTCAGAAATGGTAAACTGGTTATTTTTTTTTTCAAAGCTACCGGCTGTCGTGAGGGTGTTTCCATTTTTCTACTTTATATAACCGTTTACTGTGCTGTCTAAACACATTAACCTCCTAACTTTCCATTTCTGAAAAATGTTTAGCAGAACAAGCAAACAAACTATGTTAATTAAATATGCCACAACCAAATTGTGTGCAGGATGATGAGCGATTGGTTCACATTTTCTATAAACTTTGCTATGTCACATCATCCATTATGGCTCTCTGCTCTGTCTACTCTGTGAAATAAATACGGTTAAGTAACGGCTAAAATGACTTGAATATATTGAAATTTTTTGAGACAAGGTTGAAAACATGAAAGTCAGGGTATGCTTTCTGAAATGGAAAAGAATAAAAACCTTACTGCTTTAAAAGGGTTATATTTCATTTTGCTTAACTTTTGATTCTATTTTATTTAAACGACGAGAACATTATGAATTTATTTCCATGTATTTTGGAACTTTACATTAGAACAAACAAAAACTTTGGTATTTCCTCGATAAAAGCAAAGGGTTGGCGTGGGGTTCGGGGCCCACTGAAGGGCCCCGAAAACTTTGTGTATTTTAGATGGCGAACGGTGCCATTTGGTACGGTTTAGTTCCATAAATTAGCTTAGTCAAAATCCTAATTCCAAGAGGGGAACATTGGTGTGACCTTTTTTCAGAAACCGAAGTATCCCCTTGACTGATATGAACGCCTTTCTTATACACCCACTACATACAACGCGTACACTCACTACATTTTTAAATAAAAGCAGCATAAGACTTTTAAACCAGACAATTGGGTAGACTCAACAAATTTGCTAGAGACCATTCTCAGATCCTGCAGCAGCCGTGCAATGTGTTAGGTGTGATAAGAGAGCAATCTGGCCCTCTATATTAACTGCGCATGCGGAGCGGAAGTCATTAACCACTGGCGAAAACTACGCGTGCCGAAAACTTTGGTGTCGAAGGCAGAGATGAAAGAAGGACAGAAACCACCAAATATTTTCCATTGACGACCATACTAAGAAATGCCTGCAAAACTGCATGAACAAAATCACTTGGTGAAACATTTCTCATCCCATTTGGATAGCACACAAATGGCACAAAACTATACTGTTGCAAAGCTACTTTTTTTACCGGAAGTACTTGAACACGTGCACCCCTCTGTTTGTACATGTAAACAGTCACTAATTTTTCCCACAATTTTATCACAAATCACTTATTTTTCTCACAGCACTACGTTTGTCTGTGATTGGTCTACCTGTATTTGGTGGTTTCTGCACTGCAGGTTTTTTCTAGTCTCCACCAAACAACATATATAAGACACCATCACCTTGCAACAAATGCCAAAGTACACGAATGGACACTGAATTTAATTCAAAGTCGAAATTGAATAAATAAAATTCACTGTTTTTTGGTCTTTTAAACACTTGTGAACCCCAGGTCGTTATTACCCCTCCATTATCAAAACATGGAAACATACATCTACTCTCCAAAGAACCACTTATATAGGTATATGAGTATTACCTAAACTATCACTATGAAAATATGTGCATTTTATCCAATGCCACCCCCACCCCTCAAAAAAGGAGGATTATTTACCAATATTCCACTCGTCTGTTTCATCAGCAAGAGATCTGTATCAAGAAAAAATGTACATTGTATGGATTGGTAAAAATTTAGGAAGGTGACACGACGGCTGTGGTTTGATACTAGTACAGGGTATACTAGCGCTGGTGCTAAGAGTTGAGGGTTCCTCGATTACCAATAATTACAAATAATTTCACAATTTTGAACAATTTCCCCCGTTGGTGACAGGTGCGAGCCACTTAGGCCTACTGCTATGTGATTCACTTGTTAGATACGACTATATAATCATACCTGTATGCTCATTTTTTACTGTTGGTTAAAAGGCTTGTAATGAAGTTAAATTATCCATTATTTTCCCGTGCAAGATCCCAAGAATATTTCACTCTTTACACGTGTGCTAATTATCCCTGTTTGTACTGTAAAGTTTACGTAAAAGCTTAAGAGAGGGGGGTTGGAAGAAGGAATGGATGTCCTATTTGAGATTTTTCTAAATAATATTCTTGCACCCTGTCCATCTGGAGTCTCTTACTTCTCTGCTCTGCCAGCGTCCAGATGCATGCAGAGCATCATACGCGGATCTACACATATGTTTATGTATTTAACAGTTTCCAGCCACAGCCAAGAATTTTTCTCGGAATTGACATTAAATGTCCACATCAAAGCCACCCATGTATTTTTTAAATATATTTTAAAGCCCCAAGTACANAGTTT